CAGCTGTGTTGTTGTCGGACCCTGGACTGAGCCTGCCTGATGCTACGTTATGGCCAGTCTGCGTCCAGGCTGGGACTTGGCAAAGGGTCAATTAAACTGCCATTTTTCTCAAATATCTGATTAGTCTAGAGACTGTCAGAAAACAATGAAAATGTCTGTTTCCAGTTTTCCAGAGTCCAAAGTGAGGTCTTATTTTGTCTGACTTAAAGATATTAAGTTACCAAAGAAGACAAACAGAATCTCTAAATACTCACATTTGAGAAGCTGAAAGCAAAAGACGTTAAAAAATGACTCAGCATGATAAAATGATGTTAAAATTATGGCTACATAATATTCTATTTGACTAATCTTTGCAGCTCCACTGCTGGTTGTTCATTTAGGGACTCATCATTTTTTAAAAACAAAACAAAAAAGAAATTAACAGGGTTTGTCACATTTTCAGCAGCAGACATTAAAAAATATGTTTATTCCCCAGGAAGACCAATCTAGAAATAAAGTAAACCTCCACGCAGAAACAATAATAATATAAAACATTGTTGCTGTCATTGTGTTGTGTCTGCTGAAATTGAATTCACACCATGATTAGGATGATGATCCTTTCCGGCCTCATTGACTGGAACCTGATGCATTAAACGGAATGGTCATCAAGATTATAGACCATCTATCAGCGAGTGGCCGTCCGTGTAAAAGAAAAAGTGAGCAGAACTCCAGAGTAGACAAACACTGATTTGCTTTTATGTGCTCCCCTGAGGGGCTGATAGAGGAATAGACACTCTGAGCCAGTGGAGCCATAGCTGAGGACAAGAAGATCTGTAGGATAGCATAATGGGAATAAATTGAGATTGGATGTTTAGTTTTGATTACAGTAAAGCTGTTCTTTCATATTTATAGACACTGTATCTGAAGCTACAGTTGACTTTTAATGATATTTGCAGTCACTATATCTACACAGTGGAGGAAAATGTTCCAAAACACTAGTCGACAGAGGAGTTTCTGTGATGTGCTGTAAAGTTTAGTTGATTCAAAAAGTTGCAGCATTCACAGACAAACACTTGTCTTATCTGGACACATTTTCCCCACAAATACAACATGCTAACATAATTAGCACAAGCCTATGGTATTTTACATCGTATAAATTAGCCTGGTTGCTAGTGGACTTTTCCTCCACTCATTTGAAGCCAGGGACAACAGCAACATCAAAGGTAAGGGTACATAATTTGGCTCCATAATAACTCACAAGGTTCACTGACAAAACAACTGTCTTATACTAAACATGTTTTCCAAACAAATACAACATGCTAACGTTATTAGCACGAGCCTATGGCATTTTACATTCTATAAATTAGCCTAGCGACACACAGATATTTCCTCTGCTCATATGAAGCCAGGTTAAATCACACACAAGACCTAAAATGCTATTTTGTGGAGGCTTTATTGTTTCTTATATGTGAAATTAAAGTAAATAAAAGCTTCATTTTCCACTGAGGGAAATGGTTTCAGCTTACAAAAATAGACAGGAGGTCTGCGTCACCGTGATGTGCAGTTACATTTCTCGGGGGGTGCACGTCAGGCTGCAGCGTAGGGTACGGCGTCGATTTGACGCAGAAGTATAAATCTCGCATTACTCTGTCTCTGATTGGCTTACCTCGACATTCTTACTCTAACCCTAACCAATCCCACTCCTATCATTGAAGCCTACCCAACGAAGGCAACAAGTAGTAGCCAGTCAGAGACAGATAAGGGCTGGTCATGCCTTTACTATCCTAGGAAATGCAAATTTGCCTCCAGGACCACGGCATGATGACACACACACACACAGACTCCCAAGATGAAAACAATTTCAGCCACACACTGTCGCTGCTGCTTAACAATCACCAACACAGACAATGTGGGCATGTATGTAAACAATTTAAAATTTCAGAGCAGCTGCAGCCACAAATAAAACAAAAAAAAGTTTTTATACACCACCCAACAAGCAGATAACACTATGTTGCCAACACAGTGGTTGTTGCTCATCTGGGGAAAGTTTAATGAGTGTGTTGCTGTAGACCCACTCCCCCGTCTGAATGTTACTCTGCCAGTCGTGCCCACCTCAAAGTCCTTCACAATCTGCTCATTCATTCTCGAAGCATTATAAAGGCTAACCAGTCCACTCAGCCTCTCCATCTGTCTCCTCAAATTCAAATGTGTTGAGCTCAATGAGGCTCTGCAGTCACATCAGGGATTATTGTCACAAACAGCAGAAAGTCCCCACACACCTCACTGAGGGTAAAAGTTCCTCTGTGAATTGATCCACTTGGAGGGTTTTAGCATTTAGCATGTTAGCTACACTTAGGTCACCACGTTCACCTGAACATTAAATCAGTGCTTAATTAAGGTTGATGCGACTTTGTTTTTTAAAAAATCAGGATATTCAGCATATATCTACCCCTTGAAGTCTCCATGCCAGTGCCACCCTCTTGATGAACAAATACCACATAACAAAGTCCCTTCTTTATGCTCCAGTGTGTGATTTTAGACAGCATGCCAGCATCGCGGCATCAAAAGAGGTGTAACATAACAGCATCGGCTTCTAGTGTGACATAAAACATACGTGTCTGCTGTGCTTTATGAACAATAACAACTGCATAAACATGGAAATAACAATCATTTTCTATCCCTGATATATGGTGGCCGATCTTGTCCTCTGCTCGGTGGGTAAGGAGTTCATGAATCTCATTCTTTTCCCAGTTTGCGGACTGCTGTTCTTCTTCTTTGAGTTAGCCTCTAACTGCTAACAGCTACTTTTTAAATCCCCTGCGGAGGGTCACACGCATCACACCCATGATCCCATCCTGCTGGCTCCTGCGGCCCAAAAAGCATTTTCTCAAGAGAACACCATTGTAAAAGACACATCTGTAAAACTTGACAGAACGCTTTGAACTGCAAACAAGGTCAATTATGAATCTTTTTATTCTGAATTTTTGAACCAAGAATGTTTTGTATTTGTAAAACTTTCCTGGAGCCAAGAAAAACGATTTTAAAATCTGTGACGTCATCACAGTGTGAAGTCTATGAGCCAAGTGGGAACTTGTGGGCAGGACCAGCGAGAGAAACACTGCTGGACATATTCAGTGGACTACATAGCCTTGTAGGCTTTCTCCAAGAAAGCCCTTTCTGAGAGAAACCTATTCATCTTAATCCAAACCATGATTTTGTTCCTAACCTTAACCAAGAGATCCTTTTCTGGTAGAAACCCTTCAAGGAAAATTTCTCCCAACTGCGGGCCGCATACCACCAAGGTAAACCCAGACGCTAGAAATTTTTTCAGTTATGCATCAGGCAAGCAACTCCACTGGAATGAATAGGTGCCAATTTGGCATCCGTTATCTAGTTGGTATTGAAATCTATGGTTAAAACGGATGAAACACAGCTAAGAGCAGGGACACATGCATCTTTCACCGCCTGGAAAATGCAAGGTGTGGCGCTGAGTGCTACTCTAGTGCCTACTCTGTGCAAACCTTTAAGGATATAGAGGCAGGTTGCATCTAATGTTGCTAAGCGACACATAACCAGCATTGTATCATAGCCTACATACCAGAAATTCTTTCAGGTGTTGAATTTTCAGTGTGTATTAATATATTGTCCATGGAACAGATGTAAAGCCCGGCGTAGCCCTGCACTAAAAGGATCAACTTCTCCTCCACATTTATGATAGACTGATGTTTATGGAAGAAAATACAGACATCGACATCTACATAGGTGGCAGTGATTGGTTGGTCTTTGTCACATTACATCCAGTGTGTGTGCTGCTGCATTCTAAAAGTAGAGCTTTGTTTATCTCAGGGTGAAGCCGTCGTGCCCTGAAAAACAGGTGTTTGGGAACACTTGTGTGAAACGCACCTTCTGTGCCACTATATTGATAACAATGGATTTAGAGGCACAAAAAATGCAGCATGTGTACATGTGCACAGGCCATAAGGCCGCTTATGGTGATAACAATAACTCAGAATGGCATCATCTTTAATATTTACTGTATTGTTGTTCATTTGCTGTGCAGTAACTGCTGGCCCGAACCCAGATGCAAACACATTTTTGAGGGGGGTCGCTGCCAGATTATGTTGAGTGTCACACCTTGTTTCCTGCATTCTGGTGAATTATAATGCACCAATTTGTGCTAAATGGCTTTATTTTTACAAAAAAAATAAAAATAAAAAATAAATCTAAAAAGAAAAAACTCTTCTGCTACTTTCTTTTTTGTGGGAACAAATTCACATGTCCTAAATATTAAGAGTGGACTGCTCCTGCGTCCTTCTTAAATCTATTCCAATGCACTTATATACTTGTGGTGAAAAGGCATACAGCTCTCTTTCAGTTGTTGTTATTTTGAAGGTTTTAACAGGAAGTGATAGTATGATATTGTGTCTGTGCCTTGACACTAAAGCGGAGTTGGTGGTTGTTAAAAAAATTGGAATTATGAGCGGTCACTGCCCTCCAGCAGCCTTGTGAGGAACTGCAACAACACATTAGATTAAAAAGCAAAATTTGTATGTTGTTATAATAATAAATTGATATTGTGTCATTACAACAAATGTCAGCAACATTAGAACCAGAATAATTGCATGTTGCAGTTGACAAATATATATATATATATATATATATATATAAGTTTTGTTATTAGACAACAGTACTATATATGTGACATATGTCAACTCAGTGGTCAGGCATCTCTTAATATACCTATAGGTTTAATTATCATAAACCCATTACAGTACAGTACTGTTAGACTCACAAGTCAGTCTTTAGACGCTTTGCTTAACTAAAGAAGGCGGAGATCTCTGATTGTCTGGTGGCGAGACTACAGTACTGTAAATTTGCTTACTTTGAAACACTGTGGCATTGCCCTCTGCAGTTCACTGACCATTTCCTGCCACCCAGGGGCGGTATTGTATAACTTTGAATCCTCTGTTTCTGCCCCCAATATTTCACTCTCCTCTCAGAGACAAACAGGTAGCCGGGGCTAGAGGGAGGTGGTGCTATTGCGCACAAGGCGCTAACCCTGCGCAAACTACAGCACAACTGCGTGTATATTCCCCGACCGGTTGTTATGGATAAATGTGGAGGGAGAGGTGAGCGCCCGGGGATCATTTCGACTTGAACACGTCTGCAGTAACATCAGTGATGCTCTATTGGAGGCTCTGAAGTCTGTGCGCGCTGAGACGGATCAAATTTGGAGTCGCCAGCAGCAGTGCGCTTCAGCTGGACACAAGACACACGATCTGGAGGACTGGTCGCATCGTTTTCTTAAAGTTTGCTGCCTTTTTGCATTTTTTTCTTCTTTACAGTGTGCAGTTGGAGCTGTTTACATTTTGTGTTTCTTTAATATGGGGAAAGCGTGCGTATCGGGCTGATATGTTTTGGCTCCGTGGAAGTTTAACCCTGCGCCCGCGCTCCTGAACTACCATCTTTGCATTTTAATTATTATACTTTAACTGGACACTGCAGGAGGTTTAAAACGACGGAGGGAAATGGCCAGCGAGCGGAAACCGCGGCTTTGTATCATGGCAAAAGCGGAGAACGGGTATGGATTTCATTTGCATGGCGAGAAAGGGAAGAGCGGACAGTTCATCCGCAAAGTGGAGCCTGGATCCCCCGCAGAAGCGTCGGGGCTGCGCGCCGGGGACCGTGTGGTGGCAGTAAATGGAGTTAACGTGGAGAAAGAGACACACCACCAGGCAAGTCGATGTGCATTCATATTTGTGGGTTTTACTTCGTGTTACAGGACGAGTGTAAGTCGCCTGTGCAGGGGTGTATCAACAGGTCACAGTGGCTGGTGCGTGCATCCTGACACAGTGTGGCATGGGACGGGTTCAGCCAGGCACCCACACCACCCTCCTCCTGGTGTGGTGGGGACAAAACATTTGAAACTTTTCTTAATTTGAAACTTCTTCTTACCCCTGACACTTTGTCCATATAAAACCACGTGTTGCTTTAAAAATATCTTTTCCATAGTGACACTTTGACATGATCATCTGACTGAGCTGCACACTTTGGAAAGCAGGTATGCAAAACAAAAGAGGCTGGGATGACTGTGTCTGTGTCAGATAGACAGCAGGCTCAGATAATCATTTTCCCAAGCTTAAGACACAGAGCACCAACGATCTCTGGTTGGTGTCTCTGTAACCTTGTTGCTGCAGAGATACAAACGAGCTGATTACTGTGTTTGAAGCTCTCAGAAGAGTTCTGCTGCACTGGTGCTTTTCATTAAGGTTAACACAAAGCATGACGGGGCATCAGTTATGTTGTCACATAATGATGTTTGCCAACATGTTAAGTTGATAGAGAGCTCAATATGTTGAGGGATGCTTCTACAAAACTGTTTATACTTTGATTAATGATATGATTAGGACTGATTCAGAGCATGTTTGGGCTCATTATCAATTCCCAGAGCCCATCACTTCACAAACTGACTTGTTTTGTCGAATAGCAAGGACCAAAGAATTTCAATTCTTTATATTAAGACAAGGAAAAGCAACAGCTCTCCACATTTGAGAGGCTGGAATCATCAAATGTTTGGCTTTTTGCTTGATAAATAAGTGCCTTAAACAATGAATTGCTGTTTTACAGTACATACAGTCTGATATTTTGGTCAGTGTTTACATATTTCTATCACCACCCTGACAGACACTGTACACCCACATGTCTAAGCAAAGTGTGAATGTGTTAAGTACTTTGGAAAGACGTTCTAGCACCGACTAGATGCTTCCAGAGACGCTTCTCTTAGATGTGATTGGACAGTCTGTAGTTGTAGCTGAGTTAATTTGTGCATTGTGCAAACACAATAACCCGTAAATACCATCCTGTTCAATCCCTCAGGTGGTACAGCGGATCAAAGCTGTGGACAACGAGACCAGGCTGCTGGTGGTGGACCACGAGACGCACGAAAGTCTGCGCAGCCTCCGCCTCACAGCCACAGAGGAAATGGCCGTCCCCGGGACCGGGCCTCCTTCCTCCTCCTCTCCCCCAGCCTCCCCCTCGCCTTCCCCGTCCTCGGTCCCATCGTCCCCCAGCAAGAAGCGGGAGAACGGCTCGGTGTCCAAGCAGCCGGTGGCGCTGAGCAGCCAGGTGCAGAAGCCCACCAGGAGGTCACCATCAAAGGCTGCGAAGAAGGTAAGCTAACCCTCCACCACAGCAGGACACACGGGAACAGTGTCACTTATTTGGTTCTCTGTGTTGCTTTTGTTGGTTCAACATTTAGACTTAATGGTGTCTGATTTCTAAGAGCGGATCTACAGGTGGATCTGTTAACGTGAGGTTCTCCAGTTTTGCTAAAATCTAACTCATTAGCCTTTTCATTTGACTGGGCTCAGCCTCTGACCTCCTGGTTGGGATAAAGTGAAATTGAGATACGCTCTCAGACTCATGGAGGCTGAGTTCAAACTTGTATCTAGCTAGCAAACTACCATTCTAACTGAAAATCTCAGAACTCGTCAGCTATCGTCTGATGACAGTAAGTCTCTTGGGGCAACGGCCACTATTTCAGGAGCTCAGGTTGAGCCAGCGTATATCCAAGCCAAGACTTCATCTTCTGTGCTATATATAAATAGATATTTGCCTATAAATGCAGATATATTAAAATAAAGCTGACAAAGCTGAATTGTTGTCAGATGACAGCAGATGGGTTCAAAGATCCAGAGCATTCCTCCTCTTTTGCTCTCCACACGGACATCTACGGGCACGGTTTACAAACCAATACCAGATCGCTTTTGATACCAACATCTTGTACTGTTGCCTATAGATTTTACATACATATGTGGATATCGGAGATCACTTAGTGCTGCAACTAACAAAGTATTTTAGTTATTTTCTTGATCAACTGATAAAACATTTGGTCTATAAAGTGTCTGACACCTTCCCCAAGTCCAAACTGATATACTGAAATTGCTTGTTTGGTTCAATCAGCAGTCCAAATCCTCAAGGCATTCTGTTTAACATAAAAGACGACACAAGAAATGAGAAAATATTAACATCTGAAATGCTAGAGCTAGTGAATTTGTTTTACAGTCAGGAAAATATGCGCGTTTGCTTTCTTGCGGAGATTTATTAAAAGATCGACACCATTTTTATGTCTGCACAGTTAAAACAAAGCTATCGTTAGCAGCGGGTTTAGCTTAGCATAGCATAAAACCTGGCTCTGTCCAAAGGTAACAGAAATGAGCCAACTACTAGCACCGGTAACATGAACATTACTACATTTATCTTGTTTAGTTAGTACAAAAAAGAAACTGAAAAAAAGATAAGTTGTGGTTTTACAGAGAGTTATGTGTGGGAATATGTCTTGGTCACTTCCTGGAGTCCAGCATGAAGGCTAACCCCCTGTAAAATCACAACATGTTGATTAATACACTTTGGTTTTTGATATAATATGCTGTTTTATCACTGACACAAGGAGAGCTCTGCACAGGAGGGCTCTGCCATCCCAAGGCTCAAACCTCTCACCCTGAATTTGAATCAGGAACGCAGACTAGGTTAATTGGTGACTCTAAATTGCCCGTAGGGTGTGAATGGTTGTCTGTCTCTGTAGCCCTTTTCAGATAGGAATTGTGCAAATTTGCAGGAAAGCCCAATCAGTCTTTTTTCAGCATTGGCAGTATAAAAACAAAATCAGGGAGTGCAGCAAAATGCCGCCTACTTTTGTTTATACAGAATGTGCCTTTTTGCGGGGCAATGGGGGGCGTGAGCAAGTAACAAAACGTGTAGCTCAGCGTGTGACGTAAACAGTGATGAACTCCGAGGGAAGCCGCGGCTAGTAAGTCGGCCCGTTCTTCACCGTCTCTGTCATCTGATGGTTAATGGCCTCTTAGTTTGCGAGGGCAAGGAGGGCGTGCAATTCCTTGTCTCTCCACTTGCTCATCTTTACAGTGTCTGTCAGGTTTGCGTTTCCCTCTTGCTACTAGCTGCTTGCTAATTCCTGCTATCAGCTGTTTCCTGTTTATCCACCACCAGTGGCTCGCACGTGCAGCGTCATCAACAGCTCCTCCCACAAGTCATCAACAGCCCCTCCCGTTGCGGAAGGCCACCTCGGTCTGTTTAAACTAAAGAGGTTCAGCCAATATGACTACCCTACCAGGTGGAAAATTGGGCACCTCGGTTCAACTCGCCAATCCAGCTCTGTGTGTCTGAAAGCTCGCAGCTTGCCGGCAAAATGGCCCAACATTTGCGGAAAATCAGGCAGTGTAAAAGGGGCTTATGTGTCAGCCCTGTGATATTCTGGCGACCTGTCCAGGGTGCACCCCACCTCTCGCCCAGTGTCTGGGCCTGGGAAAGGCTCCAGCACACCCGTGACCCCCAACAGGATAAGCAGTTACCGAAAATGAATGAATGTTGTTTTAACTTTAGCACAGAGCCAGGCTAGCTGTTTCCCCCTGTTTACAGTCTTTGTGTTCAGATAAGCTCACTGGCTGCTGGCTGTAGCTTCATATTTAGCACGTGATCATGTGAGTGGACTCTATCTTCTCATCTAACTCTCTGCAATATAAAGAGCAGGTGTGCCTCCCAAATTCTCTACCTGTTCTGTTAATATGCGACATTCTCATGTTCTCAAATTGAGGTCAGTGACATTCTTTTTTATCAGTGTAAAGAACATAATAAGGCCTCACCGACACTCCTCCTCCTCAGTACAGCAACCAGTAACAAGCTGTAGCCTTAAAAAAACAAGTTTCCTCAGACACTCGAACAAAGCATTCTTAGAGATCTGTCAAACCCAAGAGTTAAAAATACTAAATGCATTAGCAAACAGATTGCAGATAGTGACTCATCCCTTTGAACAGATTCTCCTCAGCCACAGACATGCTTTCACCCAACTTGTTCTCTCGCTGCATTGCCAGTTTCAGATTAGATTTGGAGATGTCACGCAAGTTTCCATCCTGTTCTGCAGCCTTTCATGCATGTGTGACGTATGTTTCTCTGTGAGTATGTGAGCGTATGTGTCCTGAAGGGAGAATGTGGCTAGACTCCAGATGTCATGTTAGAGGTCAGGGAGGGCAGCAGAGGTCAGAGGGTGGGAGCCATCAGAAGTTAGGAATCTGGCAACGGACAACGCGGTGACTCTGCAGAACAGGAAATCCACAGAAATCGTAAAAGATATATGAATATAAATGGCTGGCTGGGAGATTTTCTGAATGCCTTTCTATTATAGACACTTATTGTGAAATGATGTTCCAGAGGGAAAGTCGTCCTTCAGGCCGATCACATCTCGTCTTCCTGTGTTTATTTACACATACTCGCCACAGTTGGTTGCATGTTGCTCAACCTCCATTTGATATGTTTTTATTTTTTATAATTCGCCATTTTATTATTCCATGTTGACATGGAAAACAGGATGTGTTTCTGTCCGCTCTTGTCTCCACTGGAACACAAAGCTCAGATGGGCTTTGGTTTCACATGGCCCCTATCAGCGAGACGAGGCTGCTCTGCTTTCTGCATTTACACAAACATGTGTTTTCACTTAGGTTTGCCCTGCCCATATGTGAGCAGCACTCAGGCACTATTTCTACAAGAGCAGTGACAGGGCCAATCAGTTAAATCTTAAATGTGTGTGTGTGTTTGCTCAGCTCTGGCTTTGTGACCTGTGGGGAGAAATCCCAGTGCCTGGTGGGGTCGGATTGGCCCAGCATCAGGCTCAGGAAATGCTTAGAGGTCTCTCGTTTCTCTCTTTCTATTTAATGACTCCAGTGAAAGGATGGAAAGAAAGTTCAGCAGGATGAGCCAAGAGGCATTAACAGAGCAAAAGCAGAAAAATTGGAGCTGCTGTAGGAACATTGATTTTTAAACAAATTTATTTACACTTGAGTGATCATGAACTGTGGAGCATTGAAACCTGCCTCTGTCACTTGTTTGGTAGCTCGTTACTCTGCAGAAAGCTGGATGTCTCTGTTTCCTGTCCCATCTCAAAGGAAGCTGTTCCACCACAGAAACGCAGACTCAGTATTGACACTGCGAGCTGATGCAGCATATTACATCTTGTGTATAGCAGTCGTTCGTCCATGTGGCTGGCGAGGAGCTTTGGCAGCGTAATCACCGCAACAAAAGCAGAGGGGAAAATAGACTGATCAGCACCAGAAACCATTAATCACCAAGTAAACAATCGTAGCTTAAAAAGATTGTGGGTTCACTGCTGCTCCCAGTTCTTTGTCTCTGTGTTTGTTTCTTTCAGTTGTAAAAGTCAACTCAGTTTGCTGTGAGATGTTCAAACTGCTGAGAGCAGCACATTTCTCCCCATATTTTTTATTTTCAAGAAAAGGCAGGAGAGAAAGAATGAGGGAGAGATGGAGAGCTTTTGGACCAAGGGAACCCAAGAGCGAGAGCAGCCAATAACAACCTTGAAGATTTGTTGGAAGGGGTTTCAGGAAGTGGGCCCCCCCTCAGTGGGGCAGAGGAGTGGGGGAAACAAAAGTTAGCAGGGTAGTGGAGTCACACAGTGAGGGAGAGATTAGGTAAAGAGTCTTGATAGTACTTGGCACTGTGAATGCACCAGTGTGTCAGTGATGGTAGGTGTGTGTGTGCTTTAGTGAAGTGTGTGTTTTCTGCTAAAGATCGTAAAATAGTCTGTAAACATTCATCAACCAAGCCGACAGAGAACGGGATTAACTTTGCTGTGCGGCACAGTTCATGATGTTTTATGTTGTTGTGCTTTCACTTCCGTTCTCAGTTAGAGGTGGGGCGCAGAGAGAGATGTAAATATACTGCTTGATAGGGCCAATTAATCGAAAATTAATTGAAACCGACATTCAGAACTTCTAACCAACATAGTCTTGCCCATGTCGGTAATTTTTTTGTTTTACATTCTGTTAATACCTTCCCCAATATGTGCGTTCATGTAGTGTCCCCTTAAAAACGTTTGTATTGTAATGGCTGTGCTAATTGCGCCCCACCTTTGAATTTAAAATTCCGCTCCTGCCTGAGAATCATCGCGTTTGTTCGTTTTCTTCAGTATCGAAGTAAACCAGTGACAGCTGTCTGAACAGCCATGGGTACACTGCAAACAGGAAGTGCAAAAAGCTAATTCTTGATACTTTAAATGGTGGCAACGAGCCAAAATGTGAACAAATACAGGCCTTAAAAAGACACAAGGCTCAGGTTGTAGCCCACAGCTAGCTGACCAGCTGCAT